TACGTGCTTACACTCGCTAATTTTGCTGTTCTGTTGCCTCTGTTTTCGGCCCAAACAGGCAAAACTGGAGATCACCCGATGGAGTTGGCGATGACCCGGGCGATAGGGGAGGCTTATACTACCAAGGCTACGCGTTTTCGCGAGGAAGGAAGGCAGCATCTGGAGGTGAATGACGAGCTTCAATTGAAGGCTGACGACCAGGAAAAGCAGAACGTGGAGCTTCGTCAGCAGCTTGAGAAGAGGGACGCGGATCCGAAGGATGCATTGGCGCTGTTGAAGCATCTGGCGGATAAAATTACCGATGATCAGCTCGCCAAAGTGAATGAGCGGGTGAGTATTGTGTCAGATTATAATGCTTGTCTAGTCTGTAGTGGGGTACTCAAAAGTGAGTATAACCCTTCAGGGCTTGCTACATGCATCCCTCTCCTTTCTAGTTCAATCACTTCTTCTCCTATTTCTCTTTCATATACCCTAAAACCTAGCTATGGCTTCTAAGCCTTAGCTACTATCTTAACATGCTATCAGAGCGATACGCTCCTGGCCTGTGGGCCCACCCGCTTCCGCTGCCCTACTGTGTGTCGCGCGCCCCGTGGCGCGCGGCCTCCTATTTTTCTTCCCGCCACGCGCTCCGGGCGCGTGGCGGTTTTCTGCCCTCCGTGTGCCCCGAGGCACGCGGCGGGTTCCTGCTTCGTGCGGTGCCCTACGGGCCTGCGCGCCGGCCCCTCCGTCACCTCGTCGCGGCGCCTTGGGGGCCCGCGCGCCGGCCCCAACCGTCGCCTCGTCGCGGCATTTTGGGGGCCCGCACGCTGGCCTCTCCCGTCGCCTCGTCGCGGCGCTTTGGGGGCCCGCGAGCCGGCCCCTCCCGTCGCCTCGTCGCGGCGCCTTGGGGACCCGCGAGCTGGCCCCTCTCGTCGCCTCGTCGCGGCGCCTTGGGGGCCGCGCGCCGACCCCAACCGTCGCCTCGTCGCGGTGCCTTGGGGGCCCGCGCGCGGTCCCCTCCCGTCGCCCGTCGAGGCGCTCTCGAGGGCCCGCGCGGTTCCCTAGCTCGTCGCCCGACGGGGCGCCCTGGTGGCCGCGCCCTTCCCCTCCCCTCCCTCCTACCGTTCATCTGCAGCAGCCCCCCCCCTGGAGCAGCCCGCACCTGCAGCAGCCGCCCCTGGAGCAGCCCGCACCTGCAGCAGCCGCCCCTGGAGCAGCCCGCACCTGCAGCGGCCACCCCTGGAGCAGCCCGCACCTGCAGCCCGTCCCGTTCCCTCCCCCCCCCCCCTCCCCTGCATTCCGTGGTGCTGGGGGTGTGGGGTGCCGAGCATGGGGGTGGCGGGTGTGGGGGTGGCAGTTATGTGTTCCTCCCCTTGCTCCTCCTCCTCCCTCGTCTCCCACTGCTGCAGCTGTCGCTCAGGGGGGTGGGTGTGTGGGAGCCAAGGGTTTAGGGTTTAAGGGGGGTGCTGTGGGAGTGGAGCTAGGGTTTAAACAGGGGGTGTGTGAGGGGAAGTGGGGCAGCTGGGGGAGGTTGTGTGAAGGTAGCTGTCGTGTTGCCTGCAGCGCCTGTAGTCTGTCGCCCTTGCTTCGGTAGCCAGTGAGCATGTTGCACCAGTCGCCAGTAGGTCCGTTGCTCCTGCCGCTCGTCTATAGCTGCGGAGCCAGTTACTCCAGTAGTCCGTCGCCCTTGCTTCGATAGCCTCTGAGTCAGCCGCTCCTGTGCTCGTGCCTCTGCAGCTTCAGTCGTTGCCTCGCATCTTCTCTCCCTCCATAGTCTCTCCTCCTCCTCACTTGCCCTCTGTGATAGCCTCTAACTTTGGTTATCATTGTGAACTCTTGCTCTATGCCTGCATGCTGTACTGATTATACCCCACTTTGACTATGGGGGTGTGTCAGATTATAATGCTTGTCTAGTCTGTAGTGGGGTACTCAAACGTGAGTATAACCCTTTTGGGCTTGCTACATGTATCCCTCTCCTTTCTAGTTCAATCACTTCTTCTCCTATTTTTCTTTCATATACCCTAAAACCTAGCTATGGCTTCTAAGCCTTAGCTACTATCTTAACATATTGCCCTCTATTTTGCCGTCTGCGCTGTTTACAAACAGTCACTAATGCGATGTGATTTTTTTATTTCAGGTTCACATCAAGGAGTCGTGCGACGACTTCCTTTTCAAGCCGGATACTCTCAACTTGTCACCCGATCCTGATGCCATGCTCGGAGCTTTAATCATTAAGTGACGGTCAAAAACTGGTTGTTTGTTTATCATTGTTTTTTACTTACTCGTCGTCATTCATGTTTTGTGTAGAGAAAGCTGGTTACATCGTTGACTCCATTCAAGGCTTGAAGCTCGCTGCCTTGCTGAAGGTCAATGGCATTTTGAAGCACGCGTGTGCGCGCTTCAACGACCGGATCGGTAAAATCTACCGATTCTGTCGCCTTTATGCTCTGAGCCTAGAACCATGCGTTTTTATGGAGAGGAAGCGGAACTTCAAGGGAGAGCTAACCCTGCAGGTGCCTGAGGACTTACTCACGAAATGTGCTGACTACGTTGAGCTTTTCGCCGACAGTAACTCATCGAGGTTTTTTTTATCGGTTGCATTAATTGGGTTTCGGAATTAACGTGGCATGTTCTGACGTATGTTTTGGTCCGTTGCAGAGTTCTTGGGGATTCCCTGGCACGTCAACAGGAGAGGCAGTCCGTTTTCCAGCCTTGCCTTCGTTAAGTGTGCTTCTCTGTGGGATTCGAGTGGCGCCTTGCCAATTGGTTTATTTCCTGTTCAGCCGCTTGTCATCCTTGCAGCGGTAAGTTTAACATGAGCACTTTATTTGCCTTTCACATTGTGCAATTTAACAAATGTTGATTGCTTTTCTTCTTCGTGCATGTGAGGTTCAAGTTCCGCCATCCCGGCGCCACGAAGGCTCAGTTGGATCGGTCGGGGGATCCTGGTGCTCTTGCCAGGCAGGCGCGGGTTGTACAGCGCTGGATCAACAGCAGTGACGTCACTCGCACGGACGACTGCCTTGGGATCGGCAAGGTCTGCATTGTTGGTTGGAAGGAGATTCCAGAGGAGGAGCTGGTTGCAGACGAGCATGGTGACCTTGGTCTGGATGAGCTAGTGAGCGAGCCAGGCTCGCAGGAGCGGGTTTATGATGAGAATGAAGAGCAGGAGGAGCTTTACGGGTGACCTGTAGTACCTGTGGTAGCTTAGGGTTGGTTTTGTAGGTGTAGATTAGTTTGTAGCTAATGGTAGTTCTTGGATTTGTATCTATGTAAGCTTTTGACATTTTTAGTGTATTGTCTTCTCTATTTGTTATAATGTAGCATTGTAGGCTGTACTGAATTTCTAAAAAATTCGGTAAATGTATAGTCACTATCTCTTAATTTTCCTAGTGTACTTTATCTTTTTTGTATCTATTGACATTAATGATTTCGAAACTCGCTGTGTTCATCCCTCCTTAGTATCACGTTTTAAATAACGGGAAAAAGGTGTAGGATTAAATGAACGAGTCCGAAAGACTGATAACGAGTTTCCTCTTCTAAACGAGTGCGCGTCGGAATGTATTTGGACGGCCCAGCAGCCAATAGAAACAAAGTTGCAACAAATCGTCACGCGCTAGGTGTCCTGTGCGTGTTCGCTCAAATTTCCCGAACCAACTCGGAGGGCTTGGGAGAAATTCTCTGCACCAGTCGATCTCTACAGATGTATCGGAAACCAATCACAATTCGCGGGAAAACGCCAGGAGTCGAAAACCACTCGGCAACAACTCGTTCCCAACAAGTTTCCCACACCCCCCAAATTGGCGATGTTGTAGGCTTGCCATCTTTGTTTGGACTCTCTGTTTGCCTCTTTTTAGCAGCAACGCGATGATCATCATGATGATGCTCCGATCATTGGATTATGTAATGTTTATTTCGCTTTTCCTCCTCTCATGCTCCTCGTTGCGCCGTCTCGTGCTTCCTTTCTCTTCTCCCCGTCATGCTTCTCCCTGCACCGCCTCAGGCTTCCTTTTCTTCTTCACTCATGCGTCTGTCGCCACTTGGCTGGTTATCCGTTCCTATTCGCGTATACTAACATGTGGCGTATTCTCTTGTGCCGACATCATGTCACGTTTTGTGGTTGCCCTTCTCGCACAGATCAAATATCCTCGAATTCTTCCTCGAGGGCTATTAGTGCCTACTCCATGCTGAGTGTGAACGTGTAAGTGCCACATCGCGTTGATTGTTGAAAGAGTTTCAAAACGTCGATTGATTGTTCGGTTTATTAGGTCTACTACGGTAGACTCTTATGCTGTCACGTTTGAAACTGCAGAAGGCTCCGCATTAGATGCAGCGAAAGCTTTATTTGTCGATATATTTGGTATATATTTTTCGTCTACTGGTCTTATGCAGGGTTGCCTTACTCCCTCCAACCCCGCTCCCTTTCCCCATTCCTCGGTCTCCACTTGCAGAACGGATACGGTCCAAACTTCCTCCTTACACGTCGTTGTTACCACTAAAAACAACTCAATCGACAGCTTGCCAGCCTATCCCAGATACTTCAAGGGCAGCCGTCAAGTGTTCCAGATTCCCTGCAAATTTAGACTGGGATACTACCGTATTACGTTTCCGGTGAATCCTTGTCCTTTGGCCTTCCCACTCGTGATCTTGACCAGTGCTGGATTGTTACGTAATTCCAGCAAATTCGATCTTGTGGTTAGTGTTGAGGAGGTGGAGTTGAAGCAGGCGTTGGCAGTAAACTGCCGTTCTGTAATAGAAGCGCTTTTACTGTTTGTCATGTAAGTTGGTTGTGCTAATTCAGTATTGAGGGTGACTTTTCCCTGAGGTTGACTTTCCAGTGTCGAGATGCAACCGAGGATTTCTGTTTGCACGTTCAACCTGCTGCAGGAAAATCACCCAGCTTCTGCTTATATATTGCCGCATTCCAGCAGTAAGGGATCCACACCATTCCCCAAAATGATATCATGTTGCTACATGCATGTGCACCTTCCGCTCAAGAGTCTGTTTCCAAGAACAGGCATCTACTGTAAAGAGCCGGAAATGGTCTTCCCATAAAGCGATTTCACAACGAACACACTCACACTATCCCATCAAGCACCATCAAGTAACTTCAGACTAGAATAACAGACAAAACCAACTACATCCCCTACATCGGTAATCTCATCCCTTACTCTTATCAGCCACTTCTCAGATTCTGCAGTCCTTCTTTGAGAGAATCCAGAATCCCACGCCCTACCGCCTCTCCACTCTCCTTCACTCTCTCCCCACTCTCCTTCACCCTCTCTCCGCCCTCCCTCACCCTCTGCCCTGCACGCTCCGCAGATTCCACCATCCCCTTCCGCGCCTCATCCACGCCCCTCTCAGCTCTCCCCATCGCTCCCTCTACCCCCTCCTCCACTCTCCCTTTGACCCTCTCCGCTGTCTTTCCAGCCTCCTGCCTCGCCTTCTGCACCCCCCTCGCCCTCTCCCGCGCCTCCTCCTTCACCTGCTCAATCCCTTCCTTCACATATCCAGCAGCTGAATCCGCGTTCTCCTGCGCGGCGGAAACCCCTTTTCGCGCCTGCCCTTCCACCCTCCCGCGCGCCTCCTCGAGAATTTCCTCCGCCTTCTTTTCCGCTGCACCGAGGCCTTGCCGCGTTTTCTCCATGGCCCCTTCTGCCTGCTCCGTAATCGCCCCCCCGAGCTCCTCCGCGCGCCTGCCAGCCGCCTCGCGCAATTCCTCCGCGCGCTGGCCTGCAGTCTCCCCGAGTTCCTCCGCGCGCCTTCCAGCAGCCTCTTTCAATTCCTCCGCGCGCCTGCCTGCCGCTCCCCGCAACTCCTCCGCCTGTTCGCCTGCTGCCTTGACCGTTTCTTTGGCCTGATCCGCGACCCCCTTGCGCGTCTCTTCCACCCTTTCAGACAGGACCTCTCCTGCTTTCTTCGCTTGACTCTCCATTGTCTGTCCTGTTTCCTCCGCCCGTTCCTTGACCTTCTGCCCGGCGCTCTGGGCATAATCGGAAAGTTCGTTCAAAGCCCTGGCGGCAGGGTTGGAAGGAAGCTGCTCGTATTCCACTCCCGGCGACTCTGTGGCGCATGCAGCGAGGGGAGTGCAAGCGGCGACAATGACGAACATCGCAACCACACTCGCGGCAGCCAAAAATGTCGCGACCGTCACGACTGGGGCTCGAGACTCCGCGTCACTCGTCTCAGTAAATCCAGCATCGGTAACAATTGTGTGAGATGCACGGCAGGCAGCGCCATCGCGATCCATGCTGCAGCGGACGCCATTCAATGAGACAGAAGCAGCGTGGATCGCCGAAACCGAAGCGAAGGAGGTAGATTGCCGTGAAAGGCCGGAGACGACGCGTCGTGGACCAGCAGTCGACGCGAGAAACGCTGCACGAGTTTCACTGCTGCTAGAACGCAGTGCGGGGACGCTGGGTGACGGAGAGAAGCGAAGCGTTGCAATTCCAGGAGTCAGGAGCGCAGTAATGGATGCCATTGCACAGGTTCAGGCGCGAATGCGATGTCTTACCACTTCAGCAGCTGACAATGCTTCCGGAGCGCGGAATTGCGCAGAAGAAGATCGCACGAACGTTGGGGAGGTAAAACCGGATGAGCGACGCTATATATTGTCGCGGAAAGAATCCTTGTCCACGATAGCTGCCTATACGGCGTCGAGAAGTAATCCGATCTTAGTTGAGGTGTCGCGTTACGATCGAGGCTGTTGTATCCTCGGAAAGTCGAGGTTTCTCAACTTTCTCGTGGACATCGAGTTGAGATGACGAGTCGAAAGAACAGGGCTCCCCGTTTGACAAGGCTGGTGGAAGAGGGGGGTTGGGCTGGTTGGAATGGCAAATGTGGTGTTTATTAATCGAGACGCACATTGCAAGTCACATGCATGGCACATTTTAGCCGGATTGGCTGGAGAAGCTGACGCGTGGCAGAACACCCAGTGCTGCCTTACAAATGCTTTTAATACATTGCTTTGTACCTTACACTTCATGAAAGAAACGAAGGGAGGTAATATGGAAAGCTGAACACAAGACTTTTGCGTTGTCTTCCACTTACGTTTCACTTTGATGTGGTTCTTTTCGTTGTTGATATCTCGGTAAAACCCCTGCACACTAACGTGCACCACCGCCGAGGAAGTAAAACCGAACCTCATATCGAACGTCATTGAACGGCCACGATTATTCGACACCCACAAAAACTGTCATCGAGGCAGTTCACAGAACCACAACTGTAAATCGCTCTCCCAAAACCAAGCCAACCCAGACCTCCCTTTCCCCCGACCTCCCCACCTTACCTGTGTTTTCCCACTACCTCGATGTTCCATACCGTCCTGTGCCGTTCCCCCTCTACCTTTACCGTACCTGCGCAGTTGGTTTCAAACCCTATCACCAGATCTGCAATTCCGGTTCCGTCTTCTTGCAGATCTGAACGTCACTTCATCACCATCAGCCAGCCACACAGATCAGTAACCTCAACTTTTCCAAGCCACCACAGATTTCGTCAGGCTTCTCGGCACTCGGTCATTCTTCGGGCCATCCTGCTTGCGTAATCGTCGCGTATTCGTCGCGTAATTGTTGCGTCATCGTGGAGTGATGGACACGGAGGCGAAGCTGAATATGAGCCTGGAGGAGCTTGCGATGTCGTCGCGGAGGTCTCCCGGAGGCGGACTTAACGCGCGTCGTGTAAACCGGCGTCCGTCGCCGTACTCGCGCGGAGATTTCGGAACCCGGAGGGGCAGGTGGGAGACGGGAATATACTCTTGGGGATGAGGTGCAGTGGCTCGCCCGACTAAGGGCTCGTCTAACGCCATGTCAAGGCGTGTTAATAGGAATTTTGGAGGCAACTGAAACTTGGCATAGGCACTGGCGTGAACCAGATCTGATGCGCCAACGGCGCTGCATCTGCGCGTGCGACCTCGTTGGTCACGGACAGCGAATTTGGATTTTATTCGTTTTTACGCGGCCTTGGAAGCCTGAGACATGCGGCGGACTCATACAGCCTCTTTAGCTTTCTCGATGGTTACTCCGCTCCTCAGGTGGTGAAATCATCAGAAGCCGACAGTCTGAGTCCATGCGTTTAGAACGCCAGATCTCCAAGAATCGGATATCAGCGATGCAGCTCCTATCGCGTCGCTCCGCGTTCGTTGTGTTTCGGTGTGTTCTTCTGGTGGATGCTGCTGTGCTTCTGTGTGCTGCCGCGTGCTGCCGCTCACCTTTGCCCTCCTCGTGTTGTTTCGTGCGCGTGTTGATGTGGTTGAGGGCGGCGGATGGATGGTGGCGGTTGGATGGCGGCGGATGGATGATGGCGGATGGAGGATGAGGAGTCGGTGGTCGAAGGAGAGATGGAAGGAGGTGAGATGGGGTGGTGGTGGCGGTGACGGTGGCGGTGGTGGTGGTGATGGTGGTGGTGGTGGTGGGTGCGGTGTGAGGTGGAAGCCGAGGAGTGTGTGGTGGGCGAAAGGATGGTGGTGATGGTGGTGGCGGTGGTGATGGGAGGGGGGGTTGATGGTGGTGGTGGTGGTGCGCGTTTCGGGTGTGCGTGGGGTGGTGGTTGGAGGGAGAATGGTGTTGTCGTGGTTGGCCTCGCTCTTGCCTCTCCTCCCTTTCTCCCCCCTTTTCCTCTCTTTGTTTCCCCTCGACCCGCCTTTTCGATATGCTCCGTCTGCCCGTGGCTCGTCTCGGCTCGTCTCGGTTCGTTTCGGTCCATCTCGCCGCGCCTCGGCTCCTCGGCTCCTCTCGCCGCGCCTCGGCTCCTCGGTTCGCGCGCATCGTCATCATCATCGTTGCGGGCGCACACTAAGCAGCTCTACGATCATCTGCAACAACTGCAAGATGCCCGGCCACATCGCACGCGAGTGCACCAACCTCGCCGTCTGCAACAACTGCGGCGCTCCAGGGTGCGTGCCCTTCCTTGTGGTGCAGCAACCGTTTATTCCTTTCTTGTTTGTTTCCCGCCGCTTCTGATTTCATTTTTTTAATTTTCTCCCGGCATTCATTCCTCTCCACGCCCGTTCGTTTTTCTCCAGTTTTCTCGTTCCGGGCTTGTCATTGTGGTTTCCTATGCTGCTTGCTCTATTCATTCTTCAGCGCTTTCTCTTCCATCGTCTCATGATTCGAGTGTCATCGTTCTTCGTATATTCGTCTCTGATGTCCCCCCACACCTCCCTCCCACCCCTCCTCCCCATCCTTCCCCTCCTCCCCGAATTCCCTTGCTTCCCCTCCTCCCCTCCCCCCTCCCCACCTCACTTCCTTTCTTCCTCCGCTTCCTTCCCCCCCCCCCAACCCCCCCCCCCCTCCCCCCCCGCAGCCACATCGCGTCGGCGTGCACGTCGGAGGTGGTGTGTCGCAACTGCAAGCAGCCGGGGCACATCGCAGCGGACTGCACAAACGAGGCCGTCTGCCGCAACTGCGGCAAGCCCGGCCACATCGCCGTCGGCTGCACTGTCGGCGCCGTCCCCAAGTCGCAGGTGAGTTGAGTCTCAGGGCACGTTGCGCCGCTTTGCACCTTTCAAGGCGCCTCAACCGCCGGGAAGCTTGCGCCGTTCTGCCACTCTTCCGTTGTTTATCCCGTTGTCTCTTTCCGTTTATTGCGCTGTGTCTTACCATTGCCTCCCCAGTCCTCTCCTCCTCCCTCGCTTCTCCCCGCGCTTTTCTGTGTGCCTCTCCCATCACTCCCCTCCCCTTCCTTCCTTCCCCTCCAACCCTCCTCCCTCTCTCTCTGTCCCCCCCACCTGCTATTTCAGTTGTGCAGCAACTGCTTCAAGCCGGGCCACTCGTCAGCGGAGTGTGGCAACGAGATGGCGTGCAACAACTGCCGTCAGACAGGCCACAAGGCGCGCGAGTGCCCCAACGCGCCCGTTTGCAACGTCTGCGGCGTCGCGGGCCACTTTGCCCGCAACTGCCCCTCCGGGGCCGGCGGCGCCGGCGGTGGCGGTGGCGGCGGCGGGTTTGGTGGCGGCGGGTTTGGCGGCGGTGGTTATGGGGGCGGGGGAGGGGCCACCTGCCACGCGTGCGGACTTCCAGGGCATATTGCACGTAACTGCCCCAACGCTGGTGGTGTGGTGGTAAGTGATGCTTGAAATTTATGGGTCTAGAGTGGTTGCAGGGCGGGTGACTTGGTTGGATGCGGTGGGATGCTTTGGGAGTGGGTTGATTGAGTGTTTAGGCTGGTGCTGATGAAGGTTTTTTCTGGCGGAATATTGTGGGCGTACCATTTTTGTTGGGCTTTCGTATTGTTTCTTTATAAAAGCTGCAATTTTGTTTTATGTGCGCATGGTACAGTAAGCACGGAGCCTCTTGCGGGTTTACTGCATAGGAGCACTCCCGACCACACATAAATCAACAGCTTACAACGCCTGACGCATTCCCCCCCAATTCCTGTGTATCCGCCCTGTGTGCTCGTCTCGTCTCTCTCCGCAGGCGTACCGCGGAGGAGGCGGCCGGGGTGGAGAATTGTGCCACTCTTGCCAGCAACCGGGGCACTTCGCAAGGGAGTGTCCGGTGAGTTCTCAGGCGCCTAGTTAATATTCCCCCAATTCTTGTGTGTCCGCCGGTTTTTGAGAATTCTAAAAAACCAGCACTTCGCAAGGGAGTGTCCGGTGGGTTCTGATGCGCCTATTTTATATTCCTCCAGTTTCTGTGTGCCCGCCCTGGAGGCGGCGGCGGACTTTTTGTTTGACTTGACTCAAAAGTGTCCGGTGGATTCTGATGCGCCTACCGTAATTTATATTTTCCCAACCTCTGTGTAGCTGCCTCGGAGGCGGCGGTGGGGGTGGCGATCTGTGCCACTCGCACCGTCAGCCGGGGCACTGTGAGGGAGACTCAGGCGGGTTTTGAGGCACCTAATGTGATTATTTCCATGTGTCCCTGTGCTCTCCTCTCTCAGTAGGCGTACCGTGGAGGCGGCAGCGGGGGTGGCGAGCTGTGCCACTCGTGCCGTCAGCCGGGGCACTGTGATGGAGTCTTATGCGGGTTCTGAGGCGCCCAATCAAATTATTTCCCCAATTCCCACGTGTCCCTGTGTGCTCGTATCTCTCAGCAGGCGTACCGTGGAGGAGGCGGCGGGGGTGGCGAGCTGTGCCACTCGTGCCGTCAGCCGGGGCACTTCGCGAGGGAGTGTCCGGTGGGGGTGGTGTGCCACGTGTGCGGCGGCAGGGGGCACATGGCGGCGGCGTGCCCGTCTGATCCCCGCGCCATGCGCGGTGGCGGCGGCCGGCGATAGAGGGGCTGTTGTTGGGGGGCCTATTTAGGCAGCATGGGAGAGAGGAGGGGTCAGGGCAGGGGGCAGGGGTCAGGGGGCAGGCGGCAGGGGTCACATGGCTGCAGCCTGTCCCCCTGATCCCCGCGCAGTGCGCGGAGGAGAGAGGCAAGGGCACAGCGCTGGGGTCAGGTTGTTTTGAGTGGGCCTGTGCATTTGTTCTGTGGTCGTTTGTTCTGTGGGTGGATGGATGGAGGCTTGTTTTACAGTGCATGCTTACTGTTGACTGTTTACGGTTGATATGATAGCGCTGGATTATAACCTCTAGGTTGTCACTGTGCTCGAGCCTCTTAGGGCGTGGTGCATACATTCACTTCATGTATTGCAGCAGCACCAGCAGCATATCTGTCTACTTCTTAGGTTATATTAAGTATGAGTATCTTCCTACACTTCACGTTGAAAATTCCCCTAAACTCAAAACCTCTAGCTAGTTTACTAAGCAAAAGGTACCTTCTTGATACCGTAGGAACACGTCCTGAGACACTCATACTCTTTTTGGTATGTTCTGATCTGGATTATGGTTTTGAGGACAGTGCATGGTTATTGCTGACATGCAATTGTCAGAATCCCAACCACTTATCACTAGGATAAAAGGGATTGTTTGTGGAGCGGGTGAGTGCGCCCATAACCCCCCAGGCCACCGTGCCTGTAACCCTTCCCTAGGATCAATCAAGGATCACCAGTGAACCTCTGACAGATGTGATACTTAGTATCATCTACCCAGCTTGGTACAACAAGGTACAGTAATTCAGACAGCATTAGTACCGGTACCGTACATCCTCTTTACTCACCTCCTCACTACCATTTACCTTCCCCCCCCCCCCAAATCCTTACTGTGCCACCAATATCCTCTGTAGTATCTCCCCACACCCCATCAAAGTGTAGACTCACGGGACGTGTCTAGAACACCAGCATTCCCACCTTACCACTCGTCCTGCCTGCCTGCTACACAACTATCGAAGGTCACGACCACTCACCACGGCGGCCCCAGCGCTAAGTCACAGTCAATTAATTATCTGGACTCAATCACACAGGAACTGATCATGCATGCATGCATGCAGACTTAAAACAAGGAGAGTCGAACATACAGACTCAAGCGCACAGTCAGACATGCGATGCGAGCCTACAGATTCTGCGCCATGCCCTGCTGCCACTCTCTCCAGCCGTGTCTCCTCAGTTCAGAGCACTCCACTCCATGCACGCTCAACAGGGCACGCTCAACCATGCACACTCTCAAGTGCAAGTCAGTAATGCGAGCCTACAGAATCTGCTGCTCCATGCCATGCAGCCACTCTCTCCAGCCGTCGCCTCAGCTCGGAGCGCTCCACCAGATCCAGATCCACGTAATACTCCTTCCCTCCCGCTACCAACGTTCTCTCGTTTTGAGTCGACCCTAAAACTCAACCATGCACACTCGAGTCAGTCATGCGAGCCTACAGAGTCTGCACCATGCCCTGCTGCCACCCTCTCCAGTCGTCGCCTCAGCTCAGGGCACTCCACCAGATCCAGATCCACGTAATACTCCTTCCCTCCCGCTACAAACGTCGGCTGTAGCGGCCGGTTGCCCTTGGGCGCAGCGGCGATATCGCGGAGATTCACAGTGGATCGCATAGGGGTGCCCATCCAGGAGAGGGTTTCTATCAGCATGCTCGGCGCGCCTCTACGGAATCTAATGCTGCGGACGTAGGGGGAGCCTACCCAGTGTAGGGTTGCTGTGGTGGCTGTGCTGAAAAGGGCTAGCGTTCCAGCGATGCTGCCTTTAAGGAGTACGTTCGCGGCGGCTGCGCCTGGCGCTGCTGCTGCTGCTCCGACCCCTCCTGCTGCGCCTGCTGCTCCTGCTGCTCCCGCTGCGCCTGCTGCGCCGGTGGCGCCGGCCGCTGCTGCTGCGGCGCCGCCTGCGGCGGATAAGGCGCCAGTGGAGTAGAAAGTGACGATGGGTCCTAGAGTGAGGGAGAGCAGGCAGGTGGAGAGGGAGAGAATCTTCACGTTTCTGAGAGGGGAGGAGAACGGCCCTTGGTACACCACGGCCGCGTTATCGAGTCCGCTTGTAACGCGGGAGTCTAAAGAAAAAGGGACGGAGTCGGCTGACGGTTGCTGATGTGGATCCTGTTGTTGCGATTGGCTCAGCTGGTGAAATCGCCGGATTTGCCGCAGCTGCTGCTTGGTGGAGATGCGAGAATTGGTCGAGATGGAGCCACGGCTTGCGAAGGGCACACTGACACCAGCGGCAAACGCGGCAGCTATATCAGTGCTCTGTGCTGCTAGCGGTGCTGTTGTTACTGGCTTATGCGACCCGAATGCGAATCGGGCGAGGACTCCGGGTAAGCGGACAGGGGAAATTGGCGGAGGTGTCGGCGGAGCGCATGACGCGGTAGCGCCGTCAGCGACGATTTGGCACGGGTTGAAGGATCGCGTGAAGGCAGGGTGACGATCTGGCGAAGGAGTGGGGAGGATACGAGGTTCGATCGGCGAAACGGGCAGTGGATCGGTGGGAAGTGAGCGAGCATAGATCCCGGCGCAGCGAATGAGCAGCGTTGGTGGAAGATCGAGGAGATGGTGGCGGGAGACAGCAGCCAGGAGCCCACGGGAAGCCATGGCAGCGGTGGGTATGTTGAAGCGGAGCGGAGTGTCGCAAGCTGAGTTCGAACAGAAAAAGAAAACTGAGTTGTAATTTTGTTTGGTTTGGCTGTTTGTTTCGTGTATCGGGGTGTATCTTGCGGGTCGATTTGTGGAAAGGAGAACAGGTGTAGCGAGGATGACATTCCCTAACATGAGTCTGTAGTGAAACATTCATCTTCATCTTTAATTAATCTAGGAGATTCTAACCGAAAGAAAGCGTTTGTCAGTTGCAGCTAAAGCAGTTCAGTACCGGTAAGTAAATGCATCATACCAGCTGAATTACGGAGTCTATGGGAAATGCTCCATAAATGCTGTACAATCCTCCCCCCTTTCCCCCTATCTTATCTTCTCTCCCTTCTCTAGCTCCAATGAAAATACGAAAGCTGAGTAACCACAACGAGATCGATCCCCCCTAGAAAGTAGCCACCACAGCCCCATTGTATAGCAGCACCACCACTGTCCTATCAGGCCTCCACTCCAACGCCACGTGTAGATCCAACAGCTGAGCAGACTTCTGCAGCGCCTCAAAAGAAGCCTCACTGAAACGGCATCCCATTAGAAAGTAGCCACCACAGCCCCGTTGTACAGCAGCACCACTGTCCGATCAGGCCTCCATTCCAACGCCACATGTAGATCCAACAGCTGAGCTGCCAGTGCCATAGCTGCCTGCATGCCCCCCCTCGTGCTTCCCCCCACAACCACCCCGCCTCCTCTCCCTGCTGCTCCCCCTCCCCCTCCTCCGACTGCCCCTCCCAGGGAAGCAGCAAGGGGAGGAAGAGTGGAGGATGCGGAGGGAAGCGGGCGGCCTGCGGTGGCTGTATCTGTGGTTGTGCCGCCCGGTGCTCTCGTGGCCCCTGCTGCTGCTGACCCGCCTGCTGCCGTGAAAAGGAAAGAGCCAAAGGCCTGGCAGGGGGGGAGAGAGTGAGAGGGCGACACAGTGGGGGAGACACGGGAGGCAAAGGAGGAAAAGAGGTAGGGAGAGAAGCATGGGTCAACTGAGAACGGAGATTCAGGTATGCTGGTTCATTGCTTCAGGTTTCGTGTTTAGAATCATTAAATATACTAGTAATTGAGAAGTGGAGAGAGGGAGGGCCAAGAAGCAATGATGAAATGCTGCCCCCCAACCCAATTCCCTCTCGTCCCCTGTCTCTCTCTCACCATCGTCGGCAGCGCATCCCCACTCGACCGCCGCCGCTGCTGCTGCTGCTGCTGCTGCTGCTGCTGCTGCTGCTGCTGCTGCTGCTGCTGCTGCTGCTGCTGCTGCTGCTGCTGCTGCTGCTGCTGCTGCTGCTGCTCTTCCTCCTCTGCTCGCCCCACCGAGCCACCTCCAGTCAGCACGAGCAGATCAGGAGGGAGCTCCGGCAGGTGTGGCACCATAACCAGCTTGCTGCAGTGCACTGGTGCCGTGGGCGCGCGAGTTAATTTCTCCCACCACGCCATGCCTATGGACCACCACCGCAGCACTAGTCCGATCTGAGAGAAGGCCACTACGGCCTCGCCATCTGGCGCGAAAGCGACGGCTGAGATGCTCCCGATGTGCGCGAGCGGGTGCGGGGGGGTGGGCTGGTGGGGGAGAGAGGCAGCGGTAGTGGAAGAGGAGGAGGAGGGGGAGGAGGAGGGGGAGATGGCTGGGAGCGAGGAATGGGAGGAGGACGGAGAAAGCAGGGTGGTTGGTGATGGTGCTGCGGAATCATTGGCAGTAGTAGCAGCAGCAGCAGATGAGGAGGAGCGGCGGGAGAGGGAGCGGAGGAAGGTGGGGTGGCCTGGAGCGCTGCTAGCATCTAGCGTGCGGAACTTGGTGCCCCTGCCATGAGGGGAGGGGGGATGGGAAAGGGGGAAGGAGACTTCTGAGGCGCCTCATAGGGAGGTGGAGTGGCCTGGTGCGCTGCTGGCGTCTAGTGTGCGGAACTTGGTGCCCCTGCCATCAGGGGGGGGAGGGAGGGGGGAGGGGGACGGAAACTTTTGAGGCGCCTCGAAGGAAGGTGGAGTGGCCTGGAGCACTGCTGGCGTCTAGCGTGCGGAACTTTGTTCCCCTGGCGTGTGGGGAGGGGGTAGGGAGGACGGCGGAAGGGGAAAGGGTTGGAGGGGGAAGAGTAGTGGTGGATGGCTAAAAAGGCAAGGATAGATGAGATTGAACCGCCAAGAGCCAGCGAGAGCAGCAGCAACAGCAACAGCCCATATGCGAATGTGGTGTGGAGCAGGGAGGAGGTGTCAGGAAACATTGAAATCACTTATGAGAATTCTCAAATGTGATTTCAATATAGGAGAGTTCAGGAAACAGGACCAGCAGTCAAGGCGAAGGGGTAGGACGCAAGGGCAGGGAGCAGCAAGCAAGGGGCAGGCAGGGGCAGCAGAGAAGTCTCACAAGCGCAGGTCATAGACATGAATAGGAGTTGGGCGAGGCGGGCGGGAGGCAGCGAAGAAAGAGCAGGGGAGAGGAATCTCACGAGCGCAGGTCGTAGACGCGAAATGGCGATGCGTCCCACATCGCCCACGGCGTCCCCCACAGCGAGGCGCAGGTAGGAGTTGGGCGAGGCGAGAGAGGAGCAGGGAGCAGGAGGCAGGGGAAGGGATAGGGAGCATGGGCAGGGAGCAAGCAGCAGGGAGCAAGCAGCAGGGAGGAGGGAACTGGGGGGCAGCAGGGGAGAGGAATCTCACGAGCGCAGGTCGTAGACGTGAATGGCGATGCGTCCCACGTCCCCCACGGCGTCCCCCACAGCGAGGCGCAGGTAGGAGTTGGGCGAGGCGGGCGGGCTCTGGAAGACGGCGGCCATGGGGAAGTTGCGCGGCAGCTCCATGAGCAGCGCCATGGCGGTGTGCAGACAGTTCTTGCGGAGGGGGGCGTTGGACTGGTCCGTGCACTTGAGGGCACACTCCACTATCTGATGGGAGCCGGAGGGTGGGGTGGGTGGGGTGGGTGGGTGGGAGGAAGGTGGGGGCGGGGAAGAGAGAGACCTCAGAGACCTTAGAGACCTCAGAGACCTTAGAGGCCCGTTGAGGTGACTCAAGGTGTGTGTGTGTGTGTGTGTGTGTGTGTGTGCTGGCAGGTGTTGTTGCGAAGAGAGGCGCCATGAGCAGTGCTCAGGTTGCGCGGCAGCTCCATGAGCAGCGCCATGGCGGTGTGCAGACAGCTCTTGCGGATAGGCGCGTTGGACCGGTCCGTGCACTTGAGGGCACACTCCACGATCTATGGGTGGGGCGGGCGGGAGAGAGGAGGAAAGAGAAGCTAGATGACTTTTGAGTCGACTCAGAAGCGATCTATGGGTGGGGCGGGCGGGAGAGAGGAGGAAAAAGAAGCTTGGGTGGGTTCCACAGGCGGGCAGATGGTTCTGCTGCGTGTTGAGCCAGGAGGAAAGAGAAGCTTGCGGAGCGGCGCGTTGGACTGCCTGATCCGTGCACTTGAGGGCGCACTCCACGATGTGACTGGAAGAGGGAGAGGGATGGGGAGGCAGAGGGGGATTGGACAGGGCAGGTAGGAAAAAGAGGCAATTGAGTCGAATCAAAGTGAGCGCGGGCAGATTCTGGGTAGAAAGGCGTTGGACTGGTCCGTGCACTGGAGCGCACTCTGCACGATGCGATGGGAGGTTGGTGGTGGGGTGGAGATGAGGTGGGAGGATGAGAGATCTGGGTGGCCTCAAAATGCTCTCATTTTGACGTGCAAGCGCGGTGCCTGCCTCCCAACCAACCACTCACCCACCTGCGTGAGGTGGCAGAGCAGCGAGCGGGGGTACGAGCGCACGGCCCTGATAATCGCCATGAGCGCAGTCACATGCACCGACGAGTCCGGGGGCGCCCCCCCTGCCATCTGCCCCTGCACCACCGTCAGGAACGCTGCTGGATCTGCCATGGCTAGCGCTGGGAGAAGCGATGTTGCCAGTGCCTCCCGGACGACTATTGCCACCGCTGCTGACGGCTGCCCTGGCGCTGTTGCTGCTGCTGCTGCTCCTGCTGCTGCTGCTGCAACTGGTGATGATGATGATGCTGGTGATGCTGCTTCTGAGCCTCCTCCCGTTCCTCCGGGCGTTTCGGAGGAGTTGGAGGGGATAAAAGAGGATGAGGAGGAGTGCTGCCTTGTCATTCCTGCACCACCACCGGTGCTGTTTCTATGGCTGCCTCTGCTGCTAGCATTGCTTGCACCAGCCGCAGCCGCAGCAGCGGCAGAGGCAGTGGCAGAAGAAGCAGGGACAGCCCCAGGGGTGAGAATGGTGCCTGCATCCAAAGAGTGTGCGTCAGAGAGCATGGCTGCTGAGACAGGGACGGAATGAATACCATGGTGATGATGATGCATGTCCAAGTGCATGTCCGCATGCATGCCGCCATGCATGTCACCATGCATGTCCGAATGCACGTCAGCAGCGTGCATGTTTGGGTGCATGTTCGCATGCATGTGTGCGTGCACGTCCCCTGTGCTGCTGCGGAAGCCTGACGGCGTGACTGCTGGCGAGGCCAGCGACGTTGGCGTGAGAATATCGTTCATGCTCCCACTACCGCTCACACCACGAGTCAGCCCCGCTCCTCCTCCTCCTCCTCCTCCCGAAGCAGACCCATACCCCCCCATCCTGCCCCCTCCTCCTCCCGCTCCCCCTCCCCCTGGGGTGCCCATAGAACCTGGGCCCAGGTCGAGTCGCCTCACAGTGCTGTGCGGCGACGGGGATGGCGGGCCGCCAACAGAGGGCGAGGGGGCAGCGGACGTGGGAGGGGTGACAATCCCTGCTGCTGTTATAGACCCCCCTCCCATACCCATACCCATGCCCATGCCCATCTGGTTGCTACTGGTGCCTGTGTGACTTGTGGAGGAGAAGCTGTTGCGAGCAGAAGAAGAAGAGGAACCGGCACCGACGGCAGGGGGGTTGTTGCCTGATGCACCACCACCACCAAGTGATGCTAGGTTGGGATGAGAGAGAGACATGATTCTCTCTCCTCTCCCTTCTCCTCCTCCTCCTACCCCTCCGCCTCCCCCCCCTCCTCCGCCTCCTCCCCCTCCGCCTCCTCCCACCCCTCCACCCCCATTCATTCCTTGCCCTCCTGCCGCCCAGGCTCCCCTCAGATCCTCACAAAGGACAAAAACGTCCGCAATCAGCCGGTGGATCTGCGGGCCAATCAGGGCCTGCCACGTGTCCGCCATCCCCTCAGCAAGAATCTCCGCAGCAGTAGCCGCGTGGCGGCTATTAGCCAATCGCACGAGCCGGAGCAACGACGGGGCGACAGCAGCAGCTAGGTCGGATCGACCGAGGGGAAGGTACCAGACAGCTAGAGCAGCAGCAACGTTGGTGCGCGCTGCTTTGGCGTCCGCGGGAGTGCCCCCCACGACCGAAACGACATCTGAACCGTCGGATGATTCGATCCATTGGAGCACATCGGACGGCTCCCAGCCAATCCAATCGGGTTGGACGAGCAACCCTCCTCTGCCTCCCTGCTCTGCTGCTGCTGATTTTGCTCCTCCCATTCCTCCTCCTCCTGCTGCTCCTCCGAATGGCGTTAGCGGCAGGGAGGTGGATGTAGGAACGTCGAGGGAGGAGGAGGAGGAGGAGGGGGAGGGTCGGGGCGAGGGGAAGTGGGGGGAGCGGAGGAGAGGAGGGAAGGCTCGGAGGGCGGCACAGTGGAAGAGAGAGCGCGCTGCCATGCGAATGTGGTCCGATGCATCGTGCCAGAAGCACGCATAAAGCTGGACGGGATAAGTGGAGGGGAGTTAGAGGGTGTGTATGATTTGTCGGCTCAAAAGACAAGTGGAAAAGAGAACCTTAAGGCCAGGACACACAGAACCAGGGAGATTTGGGAAGTCTCAAAACTCATACACACACGAACCTCAAGGGCAGGAGCGACAGAGCCTGGAAGCTTTTCAGCAAGTTCCCGTGAGTAGAAGGCGGCGAGGAGCGAGCAGACGCGGCGGGAGAGCGAGGGCGGGTGCGGGGGCAGCAGGTGCATGATGCGCTGCGCCAGGGCCACCAGGGCGAGTGAGCGCAGTGCTGAGAAGTGCGGCGAGGTGCGGAAGAGCTGGGGGTGATGGGAGGGGGGTTGGAATGGGGAGAGGAGAGGGGGGAAACGGAGGAGAAAGAAGGGGCATGTTTTGAGGCACGCTTTAACGAGCACAGGCCCACAGGGTGTGTGCCTGTGCCTGTGCCTGTGCCTGTGCCTGTGCCTGTGCCTGTGCCTGTGCCTGTGCCTGTGCCTGTGCCTGTGGCTGTGAATAACGGCACTGCTTAACAACCCTGCTTGCCTCTCCCCCGTGTCCAACCCACTCACCTCCGCGCGGCCCTGCTGTCCCGGGAATGAGAGCGTGAGCGCCCCGTTATCCCCAGCAAGCCCGGCCCCCACACACACTTGCGCCGGCTCTGATACCAATAGTGCAGCAGATAAAGCAGCGTCCAACTGGGAGTCGCACCCCCACAGGTGCAGGTACCGAATGGCATTGCGCAGCGCCATGGCTTCACCCGTCCACAGCCGCTGCCAGACCGGTGAGTCCCACGGTGTGGAATGGTGTAACGCGGTGCCGTGGTGCGGTGGAGCGGTGGAGACCTCCACCCCCTCACCCTGCTGCTGCTGCTGCTGGTCTGAAACAGCACGCTCCCCTGCTCCAGCAGCAAAGTCGTTCAAGCTATTACCACTGCCACCGCCACTGCTATCTCTTCTTTCAAGCCCAAGGCAGCGGGGCATGGGTGGGGGCGGCGGCAGGGGGAGAGCAGAGAGAGCGAGACTAAGGTCTGGTGAGAGCAGGTAGGGGAGGTCGAGGAGTAGAATGGGCACGTGTGAGGGGGTGAGGAAGCCTTTGAAGGCTGGTGACCGCAGCACAGGCGACACATTCGGGTGCTGCTGCTGCTGCTGCTGCTGCTGCTGCTGGTGTTGTTGCTGTTGTTGTTGCTGTTGTTGTTGCTGCTGATGCTGCTGGTGATGATGATGATGCTGGAAAGGAAGAGGAGGATGATGTACCGCTGACTCATTCCCTCTGGAATCAACAACACCTCCTTGATCCGCCTGCTCCTCCCCGACCCCGTCTCCCCACACCTCCGCACCGCGATCAACCGCATCAAACTCCAGCAGAAGGTTCTCAACCGGGGGCGCAGCAGCTTCAGCAGCAGCGGCGGCGGAGGAGTGAGCAGAGGCTTTGATCTTGGCAGCAAAGAAAGAGAAGAGCGAGTTGGCAGGGTTGCCTCGGAGTATCCTCTCCCTCGCGCCTGAGTGCAGGTCCCACACGAATAGCATGTCCTTAGCTGCTGCTGCTGCTGCTGCTGCTGCTGCTGCTGCTGCTGCTGCTGCTGCTGCTGCCGCTGCTCCTGCTGCTCCCGATCCTGTTGCTGCTCCTGCCGCTGCTCCTCCCACTCCTCCCTTGCCCGCCGCTCCTGCCGCTCCTGCCGCTCCTGCCGCGCCTGCTCGTGCTGTCCCTGGTGAGCCTGGCACCAGCTGTGGCACAGCAGATAGTGCACCTGCTGCAGCTGGTATGGTTGCTGTTGCCGCAGCACCAGCAACACCAGTAGCACCACCAGCGGCACCAGCAGTCTCTGACAATTGGGAAGTAGCAGCAGCCATGCTGGTAGCAATGCTGTCAGCACCACCGCCAGCACCACCACCACCACCAACACCACCAGCAGCACCGATGCTTTCACTTGCTGTGTGGCTCGCTCGTCTCGAGACAGCCCCCGAGTCAAACACATCAAGAGCATCGCTACTCGCCCCTCCGCCTATTTCAAACACAGGCCGCTTCCCTGTCCCTAGCTCCTGCTGCTGCTGCTGTTGTTCCTGGGCAGCACTAAAAGCCGCCCCTAAATCAGCCAGAACGGATGCGTTGGGTCCTGAAGCATGCCCTTTCCTCCTCCCTTTCGACACAATCAAGCCCGACTGCCCCAAGTCACCACCACCACGACCATCCCATCCCGCTAGCACACCTCCTCCCGCTCCCCCTACACCTCCTCCTCCTCCACTCCCCCCACCACCACCCCCTCCCCCACCTCCTCCTCCTCCTCCCTTCTGCGCCCCGCTCTTCCCCTTACTCAAACAAACCAGGTACCCCCGCTGCCCGTCCCACAAAATATTATCCACGGGCAGGCGGTGACCGGGCAGCAATCTTTCGCATCTAAGCGTCTCCAGAGAGCTGATACCGACCGCACCGTCGTCTGAGAGGGAGGCGAAGCAGTAGCGCCAGGGGGGGAGCGTGCCGGGAGGAGGGTGTAAGAGACGCCTTACTGGTGCCACGTGGTGACGGAGAGTGGCTAAGGGGCGCAACCTCACCACTGCTGCTGCTGCTGCTGCTGCTGCTGCTGCTGCTGCTGCTGGTGTTGCTGCTGCTTGTCCTGCTGATGCTGCTGTGTGGGTGTGAATATGGGTGTGGGTGTGAGTGCGGTGTCGGCAGTACTGCAGGCAGCCTAAGTCCCACACTCTGATAGTGCCGTCCATGCCCCCACTCACAAGCACACGGCGCAACACCGCCGACTGCTGCTGCTGCTGCTGCTGTTGCTGCTGGAATTGAGTCCCAAGCCCGCTTCTGCTGCGGCCATCTGTAACCTTCCCACCAGCACTCCCCTCCGTCTGCGCACCACCATCATGCCCAAACCCACCAGCAGCAGCACCACCAGCAGCAGCACCACCACCAGCAGCACCACCACCAGCAGCAGCACCACCAGCAGCACAAGCCTCACAAGCACCCTCGTTTCCGTCATCTGGCCACCATTCACTACGTGGTATCCACTCCAAGGGAGCAGCATGCTCCAGCATGCACAGCACAGGTCCCTCATGCCCCTCCAACCACCACTCCCTCTCCCGCCCCCCGCCCTCACTCCCGCCCCCCCTCCCACCTGCCAAACCATGCGCCGAACCACCTCCTGAACCAGCTTCCGAACCGGATGCTGCCGAACCATCTGGTGGCCCCTGGGATTCTCCTGAAGCGCTATCAGTGCTATCTGGGGAGGAGCTGAGGCGGAAGAGGGGGACAGCCTGGATCTTACCACTGGCGAATCCTCGTAGTACTAGGGAGGGGCCGAAGCGACCCCCACCCACCAGCATGGCTGTCGTCACTGCCCCGTCTGCCCTCTCCTCACACTGCTTCTTGAATCCATCTTCTACCCCTCCTCCTCCTGCTCCTCCTCCTGCTGCTCCTGCTCCTGCTCTTGCTCCTGCTCCTAACGGTGCTCCTGCGGTAGCTGCTACAGCTGCTGCTGCTGATGGTGACGATGACAAGTACGCTTTGCTACTGCCAATAATGCTACTCACATCCCCCCTCACGTCCCATCCTTGCCGTAAGGATGACCAAGCAACCATGGTCGCCGCTCGTCCCGATACCTCTGCCTCCCACGAGCCATGCCCATCCAAGTTCAGGTATTCCCCCCCATGCTCCCCGTGCCCCCACTGCCCATGCCCATGACCGTGCCCATGCCCAATCCCATAACCGCTGCCATCATTGCTCGGAAACCCCATCCCCATCCCCATGCCCATGCCCATGCCCATGCCCATGCCCATGCCCATGCCCATACCTATGCTGTGTCTCCCTCCCCCACGCCGCATCTTCCATACCAGCACCATCGGGTCCATCCCGAGCCTCTCTTCCAGGATCGGCGGGCCGCTCTCGGTCCGAACCAGCAAGGACTGGGAGAAGCGGCAGAAGCCAAAGCGCCGGCCAACCACCCCAAAGCTGATAGCAGGAGGCATAGCAGGGGGTAACCAGGCGAGGAGATCTAGAGACCAAGCCACAGCATGGGAGGGTCCTCCTGGCAGGGAGGCAGTATGGCCTCCCTCTGATGCCCCTCCCATTCCCCTGCTCCCCCCTCCTTTTCCTCCCACTCCTCCGTCTCCATCTCCTCCTCCTCCTCCTCCTCCTCCGCTTCCCCCTTCCCCTGCTCTCTCCCGCAGGCAGCAGCACACAGCGCCGCCGTTCTCATCCCAGATTACAATCTCCGCCCCGCCCCCCCCGCCTGCCGCGCTGCCTCCCCCCCAGCAGCGCGCGTGGGCGCAGGGGGACACGAATCTCGCCCCTGCTATGCGCCCAAACGCGGAGGGCAGGCGCGCAAACGCTGCCCCAGGGACCAGGACCCCTGCCTGCGAGAGATTGTGCAGCCAATAGGGAGCCTCCACGTGGGGTGTTACAGCTAGGGCGAGAGCACAGGGAGTGGCAGTGGGTGTGTGCGTGTGCAGGGGGTTGTGGGTGGTGGTGGAAGAATGTTGGTGTGAGTGGGTTTGGGAGTGGGAGTGTGAGTGGGGGTGTGTGTGGGAGTGTGTGGGGCAGGTGTGAGGGGTGTAAGGAGTGGTGGAGCAGAGGAGGAGGGCAGCAGGCGTGGCTAGCACTAGCATGCAACCACACGGAGAGAGCTCTACTGCACACAAGGCCCATCCACCACCACCACCACCAGTGCTGCCACTGCCACCACTGCTGCTGCCACGGTCCCAACCAGAACCAGATCCACTGGGTACCTGATTGCTTGTAAAGGGGCTGCCTGTATAGGGGCTGGCTGTAAACGGGCTGGTAGTGGGAGGCAGGAGAGGATAGAACGGGCTATTGCTGGTGGAAGGGGCAGATAGAAGGGACGAACCAGTGGGTGATAGACAACGAGAGACCAAGTTACTACTGGGGCCTAGAGGAGAAGAGACCCCGATTCCCCAGGGTGTGTGCCCTGTCAACCCTGCTGCTGCTGCTGCTGCTGCTCCTGCTGCAGAGGAGGCGGATACGAGCGCAGCAGCAGCGAGAACGAGGGTGGAAGTGGCAGGCACAGGCGTCACGAGCAGGTGGGAGGTGCGGGCGGTGGGAGAGGAGGGCGAGGAGGGCGAAGCAGTGAGGGCTGCAGGGAAAGACGAAGGCCCGCGCAGCTGCGATGGTGGTTGAATAGAGGAAGGCGATAAGGCTGAGGAGGCGGAAGGGTGAGAAGGAAGCGAGGATTGGGAACCAGACGACGCCCTGCCGGCCACCCCTGCTCCCGCCCTCCCAGCTCCTGGTCCCTCTTCCCCTGTGCGTGCTCCCCCCGATCCTACCCCCCCTGCTGCTGCTCCCTGTGCAGCTGCAGCAGCTCCAGCGCCTGGGAAAGAGGCACGTGCAGCAGTGGGTGCAGCAGAGGAAGCACGGGAGCGGGAGGGGCCAGGAGGGGCACCAGGCGGGACGTCGCCTGGCCAGGATAGCACGTGCGGAGGGAGAGATGCGGAAGCGGCAGCAGATGGCGCTGCTGCGAACACAGCGGCTAGGCTGCTGTGGGAAGTGGGTCTACCTGTGCTGCTGCTGCTGCTGCTGCTGCTGCTGCTGCTGCTGCTGCTGCTGCCGGTGCCAGTGCCACCGTCCGCAGCAGGAAGACTGGAACTGCTGCTGCTGTTGCTGCTGCTGCTAATCGCTGCTGCTCCGTGCATCGCTGCCCCTGCCCCTGCCCCTGCTGCTGCAGCAGAACCAGGAGGTTGTGACACAAGCCGGGAAGCAGACGCAGACGCAGCAGCAGAGGCAGTAGCCGAGGCATAGGCGGAGGCAGCAGCAGTAACAGCAGCAAGCAGGCGAGGAGGGGACGGGACGGAGGTAGGCCAGCAACGGCACGTACCAGCTGAGTCAGTCACCCATACCACCACCCGTATCCACTCACTCCCAGACACACCTACCACAGCAGTCCCACCTCTCCCATTTCCCCCACTTCCCCCACTTCCCCCACCCCCCCCGCCCTGCCCGCCCCCCCCGCTACCTCCCCCTCCACCACTCCCCCTGCTGCTGCTCCAAAACCGGGGAGGGGGTGTGGCTAGGGAGACAGCTACAGCGGCAATGGGACTATACAGAGGCAAGCTTCCATGCACCACCGTTTGTAGCACGGATAGTGATACGGCTGATACAATCACGACAGACCCACGCACCCCTGCCCCTGTCGCATCCCCCCCTGCCCCCCCTCCGCCGTCCCTCCTCTTCCCCCCGCCCGCGCCCCCGCGCCCCTTCTCCTCCTTCCCCCCTCCCCCCGCTCCGCCATGCAGGGGAGACTTAGGAGAGCCTGTGCCGGCCACTCCCCCAGCCTTCCCCCCCGCGCCGGCGCCTGCAGTCCCACCAGCACCAGCAGCAGCAGCAGTATCATTCCCAGCAATGCAGAGAAGTGCGTGGGACGAGCCAGGGACAAGGCAAGCAGCAGCAGGGGTGCCCACCCAGGGGGGGAGGCGGCGGCGGCGGCAGCAGCGGCCGGAGGAGGCATGCCAGAGACAGAGAGTGGATGCGGAGCAGAGGGACACGAGCGCATCAGCTGGCCACAGCTCGTCCTCTGCTCCTGTCATGCCACCTGCCAGCCAACTCATCGCGCCGTCGCCGCCGCTGCTGCCGCCGCAGCTGGTGCTGGTGCTGGTGTGGGTATAGGGGTTTCTTGTGCTGTTGCTGCTGCTGCTGTTGCTGCTGCTCTGAGTGAAACCACCATGGCAGGCAGTGCTGCTGCTGCTGCTGCTTTTCCCTTGTACGTCTGCCTCACGCTTCTCGGCAAACCCAGCCCCGCCTTCCGCTCTCTCCTCGCCTTCTGACTTTTCCCCCTCCTCTTCCTCCTCCTCCTCTTCCTCCTCCTCGTTCTCCTCCTCCTCCTCCGCTTCCTCCTCCTCATCCCCAGCACTCCCTTCACCTACACTCGCCAGACTACCTCGGCTTGAATTCTTCCTTTCACCTCTCCGACCCCTATCACCTCTACCATCCCTGCCGTCCTCTCCCCCACTCTCCCCGCTCTCTCTCCCCCCCGCGCCCGCACCTCCCCCAGCGCGCATCATTTCGCGCCTGGCCGCGGCAACGGCGGAAGGGACGGTGGCGGAGGGCGGGAGCGCGCTGGCGGGGGGGGCGGAGGGCGCGGAGGCGAAGGCGGAGCAGGGGAGGAGCGCAACTATTGGCGCGCTGTGGCCGCACAGGAACTGCGCGGGCCGGATGGGGGCGCGGTTGGGGGGCTGGAGGCAGAGGAACCAAGACAGCAGAGAGGTGGCAGGGGAGGGTTCCGGGGCGGAAGGAAACGGGGAGAGGGAGCAGGGGGAGAAAGGGGAGTAGGGGGGGAGGGGGAAGAGGAGGAAGCGGACTAGGGTTAGTGATGCGAGAACGCCACAAGCGACACAAGGAGCATCGAGTAGGCTGACTAGGAGCAGAGGAAGCTCGAATGGGCTGGGCGTAAGAAACGGAAACTCGTGAATCGATTCGGGAGATGCGGGCGGAAGCTTAGAGAATTATGTTGAAAATTAGAGCGTGAGGAGGAGAGTGAGGCGGAGAGTGAGGAGGAGATCGAGGCAGGAGAGGAAGATAGCGAGAGAGGCGGAGCGGAGGAGATTAACGGACAAGGTCCGCTCTGCTTCCCTTCCTACCTACCCACTCAGCAACCCACCCATTCGTGCCGGCTTTCCGAGAAGCTTCCCGATTGATGTCTCTCCGCCTGGACCAGCGACTCGGGGCACACACGCCACCTTACGATCGCGCCGTCCTGCGCGCCGGTCCACACGGACGCGCGACTCGCGGGCCCGGCGTTCGCGGCGCCATCCCCGCCGCCGGTCGCGCCGCGTGCCGCGCCGAGCGACGCGACGCAGGTGATGTCGTGCTCAGGCGGCGCGTCGGCCCACAATGCCTGCGGCAGCAGCACGCGGAGCTGCTTCGCTGGATTCTCCGACATCGCGATTCTATTCGGGCGATCTGATCACCAACGTGGATGCAGCTTTAGCTGACGTGGACAGGATGAGTGGATAAGACAACTGGAAAGTGAACCAGCGACGCAACCGGGAGCCGCGCGAGATTTCAGATTCAATCTCCCGCTCATGGGTCCTCCTTACGTTGCTGGCGCACGCTCATCCTACTTGTTACACGTCACTCCCTACGGACAATAAGGTACCACCCACTGCTCACGGAACCATGGCTGACGCAATTTAGAGTCCAAGTGCACGTACACACAACAAAAATGCGAGAAGGAAATACAACTGTAGTATTGTGGGCGATGAACTTACGAAATCCTTGTAGTGAAGCGTTGTGGGAAAGTGTTATGAATGAAGTTGCAGAGTGCGCAGTAAAACGAATAACGAGAATGGAAATTACTGAATGACGATACAATGGAAGTGACGAGGCCTAAATAGGGGAAGTCCTAGCAAGGCGGGGAGGTTGGGCGAGGATGGCTCGGTGATGGATGCGATTGGTGCAGAGGCGACTCGGGGGTGGTTCGGTGCGACGAAATAGGAAGGACAGGTTCGTTCACGTGACCCTCGGGATGTCCTCGCTAACGAGTGCCTCAGTAAGGATTCTGTAAATCCTTACAGAAAGTGGTGCAGGCGAAACTAGGCGAAAGTCTCGTATTATGTAACCAGAATGTATAACACCAAAGGACACAATCTTATTTATCAGTACTACATTGCACTCCACCGTGAAAGGATAGGTGGCGCCAGGTTGCAAATGATGAGAGGAAGCTGTTACAGGGGATCTGCAATGAGGACGGGCCAGCAAGTTGGTCGGGCCTATTTCTCTCAATATGGCGCAAACCCATGTACCTTCCACCAGCCTCCGTAAATTGGCATAGGGGGGAAGTGCAACGCCTTACGTGGCGCGGCCTAGGCCCTCCAAGAATACAGTTACGACTGGGATGTATCTATGTTTTTATAATATAGTTACAACAAAAAAAATTGCACTCTACCGTAAATGAATAAGCCATTCGGCTACGAACACGCATATGCAGAGAACCCTTTTCGCTGTCGATTATCAAACAGTCGTGCTGCATGCTTTTTTGTTGCGTTGAAATGTAAGGTGTACCAATGGAAATCATGAACGGTCCTGCGGTGGTAGTGTGTTTAGAAATAACGAGACCCATCCAAGCTGCAAGAACGACGAAAACACAGCAAACACGGAATGAAGGGATCACATCGCATATGGCAATATGTACAGGGCAGAATGAGACAATTGAGCAACACTTTTTAGGCATCAAAGACTCTAAGATTAAACAGGCGGCATCAACAAGAAGCACCAACACTCACTTAACGTTTAGCGATGCCTTGTATATCCAATTTTTACCACAGCGTCTTCCAGGTCAAGGCACAACTCCTCTAGCATCCACCAGCTGGCATTGATGGGCGTTCTGCAATGAATGGGTGGATCAACAAGATTAAACAGGGCGGATGAAAGCTAAGGCAGGTAGAGAACCAAGGGTGCGGGCACAATTATGCTTGAGGCCGGAGGGAGAGTAAGGGTGATGCTTGTCACCAGCCCACATGCATGCACATGAGAAGAGAAAGAGCGATCTGAGAATAATAGCACCTCTATCACCAACACTAGCGGCACCATCACCAACACTAGCGGCACCATCACCAACACCAGCGGCACCATCACCAACACCAGCGGCACCATCGCCAACACCAGCGGCACCATCGCCAGCACTAGCGGCACCATCGCAAACACTAGCGGCACCATCGCCAACACTAGCGGCACCATCGCCAACACTAGCGGCACCATCGCCAACACTAGCGGCACCATCGCCAACACTAGCAGCGCCATCACCAACACTAGCGGCACCACCACTAACATCAACCCCGCCATTACCAGGGCACCTTCTCAGGGTTGTCAGCCATCCCACCATGATGTTGTGAACGAATGCGCCCCAGCATCCACCGGAGAATACACCCAGTCTCCTGTTGACGTCGCCATAATACCAGCATCACCATTACCACCAGCACTGCCAGCACCAGCGCACCTCCTCAGGATTGTCAGCCATCCCAACCATGATGTTGTATGAGCAAATACGCTCCAACAACCACCCCAGGATAGGCCGGAGACCTTGCCTCTTGGGCCTTATGCGCGAACCTGAGGTCATGGCACTCGTGTTAAGTGGCTGCAAAAGAGAAGCACAGCACAGAGTAGCACGGCAAAGCAACAACACAGGGTAGCACAGCAAAGCAACAGCACATCACAGCACGACACAGAGAGGACATGGAGGAATGGAAGTAAGTCACCAAAGCGGGATCCAAAAAGGAGCAGAGGGAGTAGGGGTTGAAAGCAGGTGGAAGGAGAGAAACGTCACTTGTGGAGGGATCCTCGTGTGGTGGCTGAAGAGCTGACTATGCTGCAAAAACTGTGCAGACTGATGCAAGAAGAAGAGGAAGAGGAGGAAGAAATCAGAGAAAGTGAGGTGGGCTGGAGTGGGGTATGGGTTAAAAGGGGTGGGGTGATGCAGGGTTGAGTGTGGTGGGCTTGTGTTGTTGCAATGAGAGCATCTCAGTAGAATAGGAAGAATAGATGGACAAGAGTGGGTGTTGGGAGGGCAACATTGGGCGGAGAACGAACAAGGGGCGAAAAGGAGTGAAGGAGAGGAAACAAATAGAGGGGAATGGAAGGAGGGGGAGGGGGATTGAATGGGGGGAAGGCTGGAGGAACTGTAGGAGAGGTGAGACGGAAACTAGACAAACCACAAATACACAACCCTCTCTCCCGTACCTTCCCCCACCGTCCACCCCACTCTCCCTCCCTGTGTCAGAACATTATAGCTTACTTATTTGTGTAGGCTATAGTGGGATATCCCATAGGGGGTACAATCCCATTTGGGTTTCCTATTTGTACTCACTTCATTCATAGTCATTTCATTCTCGTTCAAATCTTCTCATGGTATCGAGCAGGTTCCCCTGTGGGAACTGCGCCTAGGGCCCACCACTTCGATTTTTTTTACTGCCCGAAGCGCACTCATCCCGAGTCGCGCCTCGGGCTATTCACTTACCGAGCCGCCCTAGCGGCCTTCTCTCCCCTAGCGGCCCTGCCGCCCTACGCTTCGCGGCCCCGCCGCCCTGCACTTCGCGGCCCCGCCGCCCTTCCTTAGCGGCCCCGCCGCCCTTCCTTCGCGGCCTCGCCGCCCTGCTAACGCGGCCCCGCCGCCCTCTGCTTAACGGCCCCGCCGCCCTCTGCTAAGCGGCCCCGCCGCCCTGCTTAAACGGCCCCGCCGCCCTGCTTCGACGGCCCCGCCGCCCTCTGCTAAGCAGCCCCGCCGCCCTACTTCGACGGCCCTGCCGCCCTGCTTCGACGGCCCCGCCGCCCTGCTTCAACGGCCCCGCCGCCCTGCTTCGACGGCCCCGCCGCCCTGCACCTCACGGCCCCGCCATCTTTCCTTCCGCGGCCCCGCCGCCTTTCCTTCCGCGGCCCCGCCGCTCTGCACTTCGCGGCCCCGCCGCCCTGCATCAGCGGCCCCGCCGCCCTGCAATTCGCGGCCCCGCCGCTCTTCCTTAGCGGCCCCGCCGCCCTTCCTTAGCGGCCCCGCCGCCCTCTGCTAAGCGGCCTTGCCGCCCTTCCTTAGCGGCCCCGCCACCCTTCCTTCGCGGCCCCGCCGCCCTGCACTTCGCGGCCCCGCCGCCCTCTGCTAAGCGGCCCCGCCGCTCTCCTCCCCTGCCGCGCCACCCGAGCCGCCGCCCACTGCACCACCCTGCAGCGTGCACCCGAGCAGCCGCCCGCCGCGCCACCGAGTACCGGAGGAGCCGAGCCGCCTAGCCGCAGTGCAGCCGAGCCGCCCAGCAGCCGGGCCACCCAGCAGCCGAGCCGCCGGGCCGCCGAGCCGCCGAGCCGCCCTGCCGCCCAGCCGCCGAGCAGCCCAGCCGCCGAGCCGCCCCGCAGCCGAGCCGCTCTACTGCCGAGTCGCCCGACCTGCCCTGTCTAGTGAGCACAGCCCCACTGCTACTGCGTGCCCGTCCCCCCCCCCCCCCCACTGCTTGCACTGCTAGTCTGTCGTCATGGCCACCCCTAGTGTCCTCGCTTTTGACGATGAGGGTCGAGCCATTGACTTTGAGGTCTGGGTCGACGACCTGCAGCTGTTTTTACAGTGCGATAGGGCGGACGGTCTGTCTCTCTTTGACCTCACCTCTGGCGCCGTCCCTGCCCCTGCTGCTGATGCTGACGCCACTGTTCGCTCACAGTGGGCCACGCGCGATGCTGCTGCACGTCTTGCTGTGCGTCGCCACCTGCCTACCGCTGAGCGCGCGCACTTTAGCCAGTACAAGAGTGCCCAGACCTTGTACGACGCTGTAGTTGCGCGCTACTCCTCCCCTGCCACTGCTGCACTGAGCCGCCTCATGCTCCCCTTCCTCTTCCCTGACCTTGCCGCTTTTCCCACTGTCGCTGATCTCATCACGCACCTCCGCACTAGTGACACTCGCTACCGCGCTGCGCTTCCTGCTGACTTCTGCGCCAAGAACCCCCCCCCCATGTACATCACTCTCTACTTCTTAGTCTCTCGCCTCCCTGACTCCCTTCGTGTAGTCCGGGACCACTTCCTCGCGGTCTGTCCCACCACCCTCACAGTCGACAGCCTCGAGAAGGCCCTCCTAGCGGCGGAGAAGAGCATAGTCGCTGTAGGAGCCTCTCGAGGTGACCCCCGCGCCCCCATCTTTGAGGGGTGTTCTCCTTCCCCTCTCCTGCCCTCTGTCGCCTCTGCCGCTGCGGCCGACCTCGTTGGTCTTAAGTCGGTCGGTGCGGCGTCTGCCCCTAGCGGGAGACGCCGCTCTGGCAAGGGCAAGGGGGGCAAGGGAGCGGGTGGGGCCAGCGGGGGTGGTGGCGGTGGAGGTGGAGGCGGCGGAGGGAGTGGGGGTGGCGGTGGAGGTGGTGGCGGGGGTGGGGGTGCTAGTGGCGGCAGTGGAGGCGGGGGTGGCGGCGGCGGTGGCGGTGGGAGCGGAGGTGGCGGAGGCGGCGGCGGTGGAGGCGGAGGCGGGGGCGGTGGAGGCGGAGGCAGGGGTGGCGGTGGTGGAGGTGGTCGGAGTGGCGCTTCGCAGCGGAGCAGCACTAGGGGCGGTCAGCGCTAGCAGCAGCAGCAGCAGCGTTCTCGCATCGTCCCCACCCCTCAGCAGCTCAGTGAGTGGTACACGCAGCATCAGCGTGGTGGGGGTTTTGGTCCCTGCACCTACGTTCTTCGCACTGGCGACCGCGCGGGTGAGCACTGTGGGGGTACCCACACCGCCCAGCGCTGCTTTGGCCGCCTGACGGACGCTTGGAGCCAGCAGTTCCCGGAGGCCGCGAAGATCCCCCGCTGGGGAGAGCTGTCTAGGGCTGGTGTAGCTATCTTTGATCTTGACTTTGATGCTATCCTTGCTGCCATGTATGCTGTGACCATTAGTGATGAGGGTGACTGTTAACGGTGTTTCCCGCCCGACCCGTGCATTGGTACTGCTGCTCTAGGTGCCACCGAGGCTTCTGCTCTAGGTGCCAGTGCGGCTGTGCTCTCAGGTACTGGTGAGGCTGCTCTCTCAGGTACTAGTGAGTCTGCGCTCTCAGGTACTGCGTCGGCTTCGGCCTCTCACACCTTCACCCTTGACTTTGGAGCGTCTCGCTCCTTCTTTCGGGACCGCACCACACTCACGCCGCTTAGTAGGCCGGTTGCGGTGTCCCTCGCTGACCCCTCTGGGGGTCCTGTTCTGTCTCGCTTCTCCACAGTCCTCCCGTGTCCGGCGGCTCCCTCTGGCACCCTGTCTGGTCTCTACCTCCCCTCGTTCTCTACGAACTTGGTGAGTGGTGCTGACCTACAGGATGTGGGAGTCCACCAGTTCACCCCTGCTCGTCAGCGGGTGACGCACTGCACAAAGGCTAGCACAGGTCGTCACCTGGCTACGTTTACACGTCAGCCAGGGTCGAGTCTGTACACACTGACCACTGCTTCTCCTCCAGTTCCTGTGTCTGGTAGGGTCCCTTCGTCAGGTCAGGTGTTTGCTGCAGCGTCCAGGTCTGGTCCTGAGTCTGCCCCCTGTTCGTGTCGTCGCCTGTCTCACGAGACTCTCCTCTGGCACCACCACCTGGGTCACCCCTCTCTGCTTCGGCTCGGAGGCATGGCCTCCCGTCTTCTTGTGTCTGGTCTTCCCCGGTCCCTCCCTCCCCTTCCTCAGGGCCCTGGCCCTGCCTATGTCCCCTGTGTCGAGGGGCGCCTGCGTGCTGCCCCTCACTCCTCCCCGTTTCCTCCGACAGAGGCTCCGTTGCAGACGCTTCACATGGACGTGTGGGGCCCTGCCCGCGTCCGTGGACTCGGTCACGAGCGCTACTTCCTGTTGGTGGTTGACGACTACTCGCGTTACACCACAGTCTTCCCCTTGCGCAGCAAGGGTGATGTCACTGAGGTGCTTATCGACTAGATCCGCGCAGCTCGTCTCCTGCTCAGGCAGAGCTTTGGCTCGGACTTTCCTGTGTTGCGTCTGCACTCGGACAGAGGCGGAGAGTTCTCCTCTGGCCTTCTGCGTGCCTACTGTCGTGCGCGAGGCATCCGCCAGACCTTCACGCTTCCGGACTCACCGCAGCAAAATGGGATTGCAGAGCGCCGCATTGGCATGGTCATGGACGTCACTCGTACGTCTATGATGCATGCGGCTGCCCCTCATTTTCTGTGGCCGTTTGCGGTCAGGTACGCGTCGCATCAGATCAACCTCCACCCCAGGGTCTCCAGTCCGGAGACCTCCCCAGCCCTGCTGTGGACGGGGAAGGATGGCGATGCGTCGGCGTTCCGGGTCTGGGGATCTCGGGCGTTTGTCCGCGACTTGTCTGCGGACAAGCTGTCCCCTCGCGCTGCTCCCTGCGTCTTCCTGGGGTTCCCCCCCGACGCCCCTGGGTGGCAGTTCTACCACC